GCCTACTCTTGCAGTATTTAGTGTGGAACATTACTTAAAATCCTATGATATTCTGCTGGTCTTTCATGAATAAGAGAACTTTTTAAGCACTGCATTATATCCTCATGAAATTTAATAGTCCATATAATTTCTTATGAAAGTTATGGTTTTGCACAGATGGAACTCCAGCATGTAGCAGGCCTCTTTACAATTTGAATTCACCACCTAGAACAGAAGCAGTTGGGTCTGTCTGTGAAAGTTCTTTCCAACCTGTACCGTCAACGCCCACTCTGCCCAGAACGGGTCAAGAGAATGGATTCCTGGAAAAGATCACAACCACTGGACGTGAAATCACAGAGCAGAAATCTGACAAAAGCATGCAGACCATTCTGGACCCGTCTGTTGTTAATTCGACGGAAATTACTGAACAACAGGATGGCAGCAGACAAAATGATCTGGGGTTTGATCTTAACAAGACACCTCAGCAGAAACCCTCGAAAAGGAGAAAGAAGTTCATGCCCAAGGTGATCGTGGAAGGGAAACCTAAAAGGAAACCACGCAAACCTGCAACTCAGGAAAATGTGAAATCTAAAGAAACCGGGAGTGGCAAAAGGAAGAAAGCTCAAAAGACAAACTTGAAAGAATCAGCAGCTGAAAAGCCAGCCAACGTTGAAGATATGAGCAACACAATCCCTGAAGTTACTGTCAAAAGTTGCAGAAAAGCTTTGAATTTTGACTTGGAAAAATCTGGAGATTTGAGGCAAGGTGACTCTGAGTCTGAAGTTGTCCAGAACGCTAGTGGTTCAAACTCAGTTTCTGAGACCAGGGATGCCACTGGTGGAACTAGTGGTAGTTGCTTGGATTCAGTAACACAAGTAGACCAAACCGATGGATTGGTGGCTACGAAACAGCCACTTGACGCGTCAATGAGAAACCAGCCAGATGAACTATCAACGGGAGCAAAAGAATCCAGAGTATTACAAGCAAATCATACTCGAACAGTGACCAGAGACCAACAACCTGAATTATTGATTGGGAACCAGCAATGCCAGTTCCCATTGGCAACGCAGAACACCCAGTTCCCAGTGGGTAACCAACAAGCTTGGCTTCAGATGAAAAACCAACTCCATGGCTTTCCATTCGGTAACCAGCAACCTCGCATGACCACGAGAAACCAGCAGCCTTGCTTGGCCATGGGTAACCAACAACCTATGTATCTGATAGGAACCCAACGACCTGCGTTGGCGAATGGAAACCAGCAACCAAGAGTTCTCCAAGGGAACAAGCAGCCTATATATTTTAATCAGCAAACGCAGCAGGCGTGTTTACCTGCTATAAATCAGCAATCTGGATCACCAACAGGCATGCACCAGCGTGTTGTGTCAACAGGAGGGCAACAACATGGACTACTAAACCAGCAACTTGGATTTTTGTTAAGAAACCAGCAACATGAAATTCTTATGAGAAACCAGCAACCTGGATCATCATTGAGAAGCCAGCAGCCGTGTGTACCTTTAATGAACCAGCGACCTGGAAATCTGAAAGGTTTTACTCACTTGAATCCAATGGTTACTGCCTGCATGTCACCGCCTGGGGTTCGACCTCCTCATTCTCAATCACAAACTCCGGCAGCGAATCTGCATGTGGAATCGGTTTCCAGGGGTTTGATTGGGACTGCAGGTACATGTCAAAGAAGCAAGACTCCTGAATACGGTTCTTTGCAGCAAGATATTCGTCAAGGAAATGGGTACATCCCATTTCAAGGGAGGTCCAACGGTGAATCTTTTGACGTATACAAGAAATCATTATCTCAAAACTCTTCTTTGCCAACTCCAGTTTTGACTAAACCTGTCGAAGCCAGGGGCTCAAAGAGACAGTATGATCGTGCAATGGAACAGATGCAAAACCATGATTTGAACCCAGTAGGTCGTTGGCCTTTGCTCCAACAGATTTCTCATATACAAGATGTGGAAAGACAGAATTTAGAAGCTGCAAAGAAAATGAAAATCCAGAAAGGAGTCCAAGAAAATTTGCATGGCATGCCTCCTGAGATAATAGAAATCGAGGATGATCCAACTGATGGGGCAAGAAAGGATAAAAATAATGCTAGCATCAACGAAACTGCATCTAATGGAATTCTCAGTGTAGTTCAAAATTCTACAGATAATGAGAAATGTATTGTCCCTAAAACGCCCAAAAGAAAGGGTCCTGCTGGGAGAAAGAAATCAGTTCCTCCGCCTGCTCATGCCTCAGAGATCCAGATTTGGGAACCTCCTCCTGGCAAGACATCTTCATCAAGAAGTAAAGTTAAAGAGAAAGCGAAGAAGTCCATACATGATTCAGGGAAATTAAGAGGTAACTAGTGTTTTCTATGATCTCTATGTGATACATTTTTGGGAATTTAATATCTGATTTGTCCAAACCAGCTCCTACAGCACCATTTTAACCACTGTTGGTACCTTCTATAGGTCCATCCGGAGAATTTCTATATCAAGATTCTATGGCAGAAATAGTATTTAGGTTGCAGAATCTAAATCTAGGTGACAGAACCAGAGAACAAGATCAAAATGCACTTGTCTTATACAAAGGCGATGGTGCAGTTGTTCCATATGAGATCAAAAAGCGAAAACCAAGACCTAAAGTTGACCTTGATGATGAAACAACTCGGATATGGAATCTACTGATGGGGAAAGGAGAAAAAGAGGCTGATGAAGATATGGATAAGAAAAAAGAGAAATGGTGGGAAGAAGAGAGGAGAGTTTTCCGAGGGAGAGCCGATTCATTCATCGCCCGTATGCATCTTGTACAAGGTAAAGTCCCATGACACTCTTCAACTTTGTTTTTTAATCACATTTGCATGTCTGGATAGGAATTAGCTATATCTTGATCCTCTAATCATATTCCTCCAGTTACAAGAGAAACAATTTAAAACAACATTCAGAAAAGCAGAATGCCACCAACTTTCTGGTTAACACATCTAGTAGAACACAGAGAAGATTTTATACCTTTTGTATGCAAAATAGAAAAAATCCTCATTCGTAAACCATGGGAAAAGAATATTCTTCATGCATCTTGAGAAGAACGGATGCGCAATAATTGCGACCTCTTAATGGTTTCCGTGCCTTTTCCTTTTTTTTCTGCTATGAATGACCAATTGAGCTCAAATGTTTACAGGGGATAGGCGTTTTTCGCCATGGAAAGGGTCAGTGGTTGATTCGGTCATTGGAGTTTTCCTTACCCAAAATGTCACGGATCACCTTTCAAGGTATATGCAGTACCTCAAGAATTAAGCACGTCAAAGAGAATTCCATGCATCGAAAATAATATGTTTTTTTTATCATGCAGCTCTGCTTTTATGTCACTAGCAGCTCGATTCCCTCCAAAATCAAGCAGCAAGCAAGAAGATGAAAGACATGTTAGAAGCGTAGTTGTTGAAGATCCAGAAGGATGCATTTTGAACTTAAATGACACCCCTTCGTGGAATGAAAAGTTTCAAAATCCATCTGACGCGCAAGTTTCTGGGGTTGATAGTGGCTCAAAAGAGCAACAGAAGGACTGTTCAAACTCTGGAATCGAAAGATTTAATTTCTTAGAGCAGAGTAGTCAGAACTTGGAAGAGGAAGTATTATCATCACAAGATTCTTTTGATCCTGCAATATTTCAGTCGTGCGGAGGAGTTGGATCCTGTTCAGGTTCCAAATCAGACGCAGAGTTTTCTACAACCAGGTGTGAAACAAAAACTGTCAGTGGATCAGCACAATCAGAGAAATCCGGGAGTCCAAATTTGTCTGATGAAACTTGCCGTCAAGGGAATGGGAGACCGATTCTATATGAAGGATCCGGTGATGTTCAGATACAAAGAACTGCAAGTGTCATACAGAAGAAACCTGATTTAGACAAAACAACGAACTGGAAGGACTCTCCTCCCTCTTTTGGTCAGCCAAGCAATCATACTAATTGGCAAAAAGGACAGGCCAATCCTTCCAGCAGCTATGAGCAGAGCACGATTCAGAAGCCACAGGTATTAGATATAGAGGATTTTGGAATGCCAGGTGATGGCATTGGTTATTCTTGGCTATCAATTTCACCAAGAGCTGACAAAGGAAAAAACAAAAAAGCACCTCGCAGAGTGTTCAGAAAAGGTGGAAACAATGGACCATCAAATCCTCATGAAATACCAGGATTGGGATTGTCTACTTCCTCAAGCACCCAGCAAGTGCACCAGGGTGATGCAAATCAACAATGTGGCACTCAACAAGATGAGATGAACAAAGCATCCCAGTTACGAGAAACATTTATGGATCTGCTCAACTCCTCTGAAGAATGTCTTACAAGTTTGCAAAACGTATTGGTCGAATCGAATTCCAGCAACAATGAGCATACGGCAACTGAATTCACCGAGACAAATTCGACTATTGTACGAGAGATGAAAGGGACGATTGCTGATGGGAAAAAGCCTACAAGCCAGTGGGATAGTCTCAGAGAGGATGTGATGGAGAATAAAGGGAGAAAGGAACGAAGCAAAGACAGTATGGATTCCATAGACTATGAAGCAATTAGACGTGCTAGTATCAGTGAGATAGCCGACGCTATCAAGGAAAGAGGGATGAATAACATGTTGGCTGTACGAATTAAGGTAAATCTACTGATTCCATTGAGACCGAGCCTCTTAGTTTCTGTGAGAAGGCTTGAACATGAGTAAATTATGTAGCGATATCTAAAATGATTGGACAACACTGCAGGATTTCCTTGAACGGATAGTTAAAGATCACGGTGCCGTTGACCTTGAATGGTTAAGAGATGTTCCTGCTGATAAAGCCAAGTGAGTAAACCACATTTTTAATGACTTTAACACTAGTAAGATCATTTTACTCAACATTTACATCAGGCTGAATAGTGAACCAAGCTGCTCATGATCATTTTACAGGGACTATCTCTTGAGCATAAGAGGATTGGGTTTGAAAAGTGTAGAATGCGTGCGACTATTAACACTCCACAATCTTGCTTTCCCTGTAAGTGAGACTATACCATTAGCTTACTAACAGTTTAAACTAATTCCAGCTAACTAAGCGTGAAATTGTATTGATGCTGTGAAGGTTGACACGAATGTCGGAAGGATTGCCGTTAGGCTGGGATGGGTGCCTCTACAACCCCTCCCTGAATCACTTCAGTTACACCTGCTGGAGCTGTAAGTTTCTTTCTTGTCATCTAAACAGCTAAATCTTTTGGTTCTCGCAAATTATAACCGTGCAGTGTTTCCACAGATACCCAGTTCTTGAGTCCATCCAAAAATTTCTTTGGCCAAGACTCTGCAAACTCGATCAACGAACACTGTATGCCCGTAAACTCTACTAAATTATCTGTCTAAAAGACTTTCTTCTTCTTTAGAAGTCTGTCTCCAATTACTAACAGTGAAATTAATTAGCGTCCTTTTTCTTGTTCAGGTATGAATTACACTACCAGCTGATTACATTTGGAAAGGTATTACTGTTCTAAGCTTTGAATTTATCATATGGTAATTGAAGAATTGCAGGCACCTGATGAAATAAGTCCTAAATCATGTGAACTCATGTCAGGTGTTTTGCACGAAGAGTCGACCAAATTGTAATGCATGTCCAATGAGAGGAGAATGCAGACACTTTGCCAGTGCTTATGCTAGGTAAGCAATCATTTATACACTTATACGCAATAATTCCACTAGCAAAAAGATAAATTAGGATTCTGGTCAACTAGCTAAAGCTAACTATAGATTCACTTTCATGGTAGCAAGCTGAAAGTAGTATTACAAGACTAATACAAGGATCAAGGTTGAAATTATGGGTGCCATATGTACTATCATTTTAACATGAGCTCTACTTTCAAAACATGCACAAACTTCCTTATGCCAAAGTAGCGATTCAAATATGAAATACACTGAATGATGCCATTTGTGACAGTGCACGACTTGCTTTGCCGGCGCCAGACGAGAGGAGCTTAGCCAGCTCAACTATTCCGGTCCCTCCTGAGTCCTTTCCTCCTGCAGCCATCCCGATGATGGAACTACCTCCTCCTCTCGAGAGATCCCTAACAAGGGAAGCACCGTCGAATGGAAGAAACTGTGAACCAATAATAGAAGAGCCGGCCTCGCCCGAGCAAGAATGCACAGAGATAACAGAGAGTGACATTGAAGATGCGTACTACAATGAAGATCCTGACGAGATCCCAACCATAAAACTCAACATAGAACAGTTCGGCATGACTCTAAGGGAAGTCATGGAGAGAAACATGGAGCTCCAAGAAGGTGACATGTCCAAGGCTTTGGTTGCTTTGAATCCAGCCACTACTTCTATTCCATCTGTCAAACTAAAGAACATTAGCCGGCTCAGGACAGAGCACCAAGTGTAAGCTGATATCTCCTCCTATTTTTTCTTTTCTTTCATTTACATTGTTGGGGAAAAACATCGCTCTCTATCTGGTTGACTTATTTACCACCCTGCATCCAACAAAGCAAGAGGACACAAGCAAGCAGCACGTATAAGTGTAAGCTAGGTGTCGTATATATAGATAAGCTAAATGATAAATGTGTCGCCTGTTTGCAGGTATGAGCTCCCGGATTCACATTCTCTCCTCGATGGTGTAAGTCAATCGTTTATTCTCTCTATACTTAAGGTGTTTCATTTGAAAAAGACTCGTTACAAATCCTCGTTTGATGCAAAACAGATGGATAAAAGAGAACCAGATGATCCAAGTCCTTATCTCCTAGCTATTTGGACACCAGGTGAGGATAAAACACTACAATGTTGCTTTCCTTGTGTTCAATATTGAAGAAAGTTAAGCTAGAACTAGAATTTTAGAGGCATTTGAAATATAGTAAGTTAAAGATGAAGTTTTGAGGCTGTCAAATGAAACTGGAACGTCGAATTGGTGGATGTTATGTGTATATTACTTTGTGAGTTTAGGTTGACTAATGTAATTGTTTGGTTGCCAGGTGAGACAGCGAATTCGGCTCAACCGCATGAACAGAAGTGTGGAGGGCAAGCGTCTGGCAAAATGTGCTTTGACGAGACTTGTTCAGAGTGTAACAGTGTGAGAGAAGCGAACTCACAGACAGTTAGAGGAACTCTTCTGGTGAGATTGTCTAGATCTTTTGTTGTGTTCATGAGAAAAGAGCAGTGAGAATACAAGTTACCTAATATCGATTTTCTGTCATTCACAGATACCTTGTCGAACTGCGATGAGAGGAAGTTTTCCACTCAATGGGACATACTTTCAAGTCAACGAGGTTAGATGAAACGAAACTCAAAATGTCGGCGAAACATTCCTTTGTATTTGGTTTGATTCTTGATCCTTCTTTGTCACTTTTTATCTTGCAGTTATTTGCAGACCATGATTCCAGTCTCAAACCCATCGATGTTCCTAGAGATTGGATATGGAATCTACCTAGAAGAACTGTTTACTTCGGGACATCAGTAACATCAATATTCAGAGGTAAAAGCATTCATAATACAGTTGGTTGATCAAATGTCCAAAACAGAACTCAATATTTCAACTTCTCTTTGTCAAAGTAGAATCTTAAAATGGTTTGCAAACTATACTCAGGTCTTTCAACGGAGCAAATACAATACTGCTTTTGGAAAGGTACCATTGAATTCTTACCCAGAGAAATACAGAAAAACACTTCTCATGAACTTTGGACATACAATATTATATGCACTGACGACTAATTCTGTGATAGAAACTGATAAACATCTAACAATTATGACTGTAGGATTCGTATGTGTCCGAGGATTCGAACAGAAGACAAGAGCACCGCGTCCGCTGATGGCAAGGTTGCATTTCCCGGCTAGTAAATTGAAGAACAACAAAACCTAAAGATCAACTGAACAAAGAAACCCCATTGCTTTCTCTGATCTCCTCTAGAATAAAAGGCAAGCAAAAGGCCAATCTTGGCATAAAACAGAAGACTCCATAGTTTTTTTTTTTCCTTCTTTCTGACTTCATTCATAGAGCAGAAGAAAAACACAAAAAGAAATCAAAATAGGAACACAAAGGAGATTTTTAGGTTCTTTTTTTCTTTTCTTACTCTCTAACAAATTGTAGCATTTTGGGTCTTTGGTTTTGTCAGTAACCGTGCCAAAATCCAATGACTATGCACACTTAGGTGCATTATCAATAAATTTCTCCGGGTCACCGTAGTTTTTAGACTCTTCTTTTCTCTCAACAACAAAACAGAAGCAAAAAAATCAAAGAAATCATCAAACTGAAACAAAATATTATTACTCTTGATTCTTGAGCATAAATTAAAGACCTTTTAAACAAAACTTTAGTTTTAGCAATTTACATAAAATTATGAATATATTGAATAAGATTATAAGAGGATCAAAGTAGTTAGCACCAGCTAAACTCACATACTCATCATACTTTTAGCATGTGCCTAAAGATTTAAACACTCAACACCGAACCTTTTAACAGCAAGCAGCTAAGTTGGTGAGAGTTAATTTACCTGTAGACACACTCAACAGTACAGACTACATTAGTGCACCAAGTTGCAGAATATTTCCATTTTAGCATCTTTCTAATAACCATTTTACTTTGAATATATCCAATATTCCTGTCCTGGTTCAAGCATTATTATATCATCATCAGAGTAAAAAATTCGATTTTCATTTCGCATATGAGATTTTTATCCAAGCGTCACGCGCGCCTAATCGACCGTTAGATTCTCAATCGACGGTGCGAGCTAATAGTTGAAAAGTAAAACCGTGTGTTTCACGCGCTTCTCGTGGTTATAGCCGCCACACGTGTCATGCACGTGACAGCGCACGTTAGCATTGACCATTGTCTTTGTTTCTGTAGTGTTTATTAACACACGCCGTTTTTCGTTTTCTCACCACCAAAAATCCACTCTCTCTCTCTCTGTGAAGTGATGTCGTCGTCGTCGTTTCGAGCTCCGGCGGGCGCCGCCGCTGTGTTCTCGTCGGATCAGAAGATCAGGCTCGGGAGGCTCGATGCTCTGAGATCCTCTCATTCGGTTTTCTTAGGCAGAAATGCGAGCGGAATCGTTTCGGTTCCTCCGTCTGCTTCTTCTTCGAGTTCTTCGCCTATCCAAGCCGTCTCCACGGTGAGATTTCAATATCTTCTGCTTTTATGGTCGGCAATTATCACGAGGTGCTTCTTAAATCGTTCTTAGAATGATTATATTCTCCTGGAATTGCTTATTTCTTTGATTCCAATCCTTAAAATGATTATATGTTGTGAAAATCATGATATCGGTAGTTCATAGCTTTGCAGTCGATTGGTGATTAAGTTTCTGGGGACGGATTTAAGAGGTAATAAGATATAACAATGAAGGAGATTTTGCAATTCTCATGTTCGATTTATGTTTTTGTTCAGCCTGCGAAGACTGAGACTGCGACTAAGCGGAGTAAAGTCGAGATAATCAAGGAGAAGAGTAATTTCATAAGGTATCCTTTAAACGAGGAGCTTTTGACTGAAGCTCCAAACGTTAACGAATCCGCCGTGCAGCTCATCAAATTCCATGGGAGCTACCAACAGTACAACAGAGAAGAACGTGGTGGAAGATCTTATTCCTTTATGCTTCGTACTAAGAATCCATCTGGCAAGGTCCCTAACCAGCTCTATCTAACTATGGATGATTTAGCCGATGAGTTTGGTATTGGTACGCTTCGTTTGACTACAAGGCAGACGTTTCAGCTCCATGGTGTTCTGAAGCTGAATCTTAAGACCGTGATGAGCTCGATTATTAAAAACATGGGTAGCACTCTTGGTGCCTGTGGTGATCTGAACAGAAATGTTCTTGCTCCTGCGGCTCCTTATGTGAAGAAAGACTATCTCTTTGCGCAAGAAACAGCCGATAACATCGCGGCTCTGCTTTCTCCTCAATCAGGGTTCTATTATGATATGTGGGTTGATGGAGAGCAGTTCTTGACTGCTGAGCCTCCTGAGGTAGTGAAGGCGCGAAATGATAACTCACATGGAACTAACTTTGTCGACTCTCCTGAGCCCATCTATGGCACTCAGTTCTTGCCTAGGAAGTTCAAGGTCGCTGTAACTGTGCCTACAGATAACTCCGTCGACCTCCTCACCAATGACATTGGCGTTGTTGTCGTTTCAGATGAAAACGGGGAGCCACAGGGTTTCAATCTATATGTAAGTTGACACTCTTTTATATCCAGTATCATGTTTGTTTGTTAGCCTTGTCTTTCAGTTATAGGTTACCTTTTGAACTGTTGATGATACATTATCTTGTAGGTTGGTGGAGGCATGGGAAGAACACACAGAATGGAGTCTACTTTTGCCCGCTTGGCTGAACCATTAGGTTATGTTCCAAAGGAGGATATTTTGTATGCTGTAAAAGCCATTGTAGTCACGCAGCGAGAACACGGGAGAAGAGATGATCGTAAATATAGCAGAATGAAATACTTGATCAGCTCCTGGGGAATTGAGAAATTTAAAGATGTTGTCGAGCAATATTATGGTAAAAAGTTTGAGCCTTCCCGTGATCTTCCAGAGTGGGAGTTCAAGAGTTATTTGGGATGGCATGAACAGGTTTTCTTACAAAAACCTTGTGGAAATAGCTTCACTTTCATCTCTCATGGCTTAAACAAAATTATGTAATTGTAATTGTGAACTTTGCAGGGAGATGGTGCGTGGTTTTGTGGGCTTCACGTAGACAGTGGTCGTGTTGGAGGTATAATGAAGAAGACACTAAGAGAGGTAATAGAGAAATACAAAATTGATGTCCGCATCACACCAAACCAAAACATTGTATTGTGTGATATAAAGACTGAATGGAAGCGTCCCATCACCACAGTGCTTGCTCAGGCCGGCTTGCTGGTAAGTAGAGCTTTGTTTGACCATAAGTATAGCTATTGTATCATAAGTTAATCAACCATTGCTTACTTTGTGCAGCAACCTGAGTTTGTCGACCCATTAAATCAAACTGCTATGGCTTGTCCAGCTTTTCCTTTGTGCCCTCTGGCAATAACCGAAGCAGAGCGCGGTATCCCCAGCATTCTAAAGCGAGTGAGAGCAATGTTTGAGAAGGTAAGATCGCTCATTGAAGATGAGTTACATTTATCTAATCGTGTGCCCATTACAGGCATATCGATCTTGATGTGCGAAACCTCCTTTCTTGGAGCAGGTTGGTCTGGACTATGACGAGTCTGTTGTGATAAGAGTAACCGGTTGTCCTAACGGGTGTGCAAGACCTTACATGGCTGAGCTTGGTCTAGTCGGGGATGGTCCCAACAGCTATCAGGTACAGTTCGAGCACAAACTCATGCTACCACTAGTGAGACAGTGTAGTAAAGCAAGCAGGCTCATATTCTCGGTTTGTTGTGGGATCCGCAGGTTTGGCTAGGAGGAACACCGAACCAGACCCAGATAGCGAGGAGTTTCATGGATAAGGTAAAGGTTCACGACTTAGAGAAAGTGTTGGAGCCATTGTTTTATCATTGGAAACTCGAGAGAGAGACCAAAGAATCATTCGGAGAATTCACAACCCGCATGGTAAGGGTTACATTACATATAACTTCTCTTTTCTCAAAGTCACTTGAAATACTATATTGAAGAAGAAGAAACAAATCACTGTGTTTTTTTTTGTTTTGTCAACTATGATAAAATTGCAGGGATTCGAGAAACTGAAGGAGCTGATAGATACATATTCTCAATCACCACCATAGATCATGTTTTTGGTTTTGTGTACTTTTTCTTTTTTGGATTGCGTTAAATATTAGTGGGTAATTGAGTATTACTGTATTAGGCCACTAGCCCATTAATAAGCCTTTTTATCTGGATATCATTTGATATGTTTTCTTTAAATTAACGGAATATCAAGATTGCGAGGTTAATTTCGGTTTTGAGTTTTATAACCAACATTAACCGATCCATTTTCTTTTTAATGTATGTATGGCTAGTAGTCTTATTAAATGATATATTTAAAAATCTAAGTGAAATTTATTGTTATTGGTTTGAAAAATTTTAAATTTTATTTGAAATCTTTTGTTATTGGAAAAATTTGGTTTTTAATAATTTTGTAATTCTAATCAAATCCACGGGACATAAATTTTTAACAACTTCACTCATTAAACAAATTTTTCACAATCTTAAAGAAATAAATAAGATTATGAAATTTTTTAAAATACTATTTTTTGATAGATTTATTGAATAGACTAAACTCTTTACAAATTTAACAAATTATCTATAAATTTAACAAATTTTCAAACTTTTAAAATAAACACACTCTATCTAAATCCTACTATCAATAACCCCCACATAAAAGGTTAATCACTTTCGTCATCATAACTCGTTATCGCAAAATGAAAAGCTCAATAATTTGTTATGATGTTGAAGTGATTTTAACCTATTTATGAAAATGGAGCTCACGGTATAAGTAGTTATCACGCTGTGATCATGGTCAAACTATTGGTCACTGGTGGACGCCAAATAGCAATGGGCAAGATGAGTACAATAGTGAAATTGGTGTAGTAAAGGAAGATTCGAGAAAGTGAATAGCTAATAGATACATAAGGTTCGCAATAATCATCTCGTTTATAAAATCATGTCTCT